CTGATTGTTAGTCCAAAGTCTTGGCAGGCCTTGCTGAAACAATTCATGAGTTGTTGGAGGTCTTCAGCAGAGTGGGCAACAATGGCTGCATCATTTGCGAAAAGGAAGTCCCGCATGAATTTCAGTTGGACTTTGGTCTTTTCTCTCAATCTAGAGAGATTAAAGAGCTTTCCGTCTGATCTAGTCCGGAGATAGACACCTTCTGTTGCAGTTCCTGCAACACCCTGTTAGCTGATCCTTCCACTCCAGAAGCACTACTGTATTTCTTCCAATCCAAATGATTTTTGGGGGGCTCACATTTGGTCAGAACAAAGTTAAGAACAGATAAAAATAAAAATTAAAACTGATGCAGATAAAAAATAAAAACAATACAGATAAAAATAAATAAGTAGATACAAGTAAAAACACACAGCCATTGGAGATGTTGGCTGTGGCAGATGACAGCTGCAACAGTAAATGTACCCAGGTTAAAAAAGGCTAGTTGAGGAGAATGACACAAAATGTCTCTTTGCATGTTGACACACATTCTCTAGCAAACTAGCAGTTCTGGATGTGCTGTCCTTCTTTGGGAGTCAGCTGGTGAGATCAGAAGGGAAAATTTAGATATAAGGAAGCTGATTTTTCCATTGCTAGCTTTGGCTTTGACAATGGGACACGAAAACAGTCCTGCACCTTCATTTTCTATTTTTCAAGCATTTTTCAAAAGCTGAAACAGAAAAACTAAAAAGAAGCACACAAACCGTGAGATAGGTTTTAGGCACAAGGCCTTTCTCCCCTTTGGAATTTTCAGCCAGCCACCAACCATCCATTTTTTTCTCCAGTATGAGAAGAACTTCATCTTTCTTCAACAAAAAGAGAGAAAAAAACCTATATTAATATTCAAGAAAGTTTTAAAGAGCTTTATAAAATCTGACATGTGCAGTGCATTTCGCTAGTTGTGTTATGTTAAGTGCCCTCAAGCTGGAACCAACTTGTAGCAACCCGAAGGAGATTTTCAATGTAAGTGAGATATTTAAGGAGTGTTCCATTCCTCCAGGCTACTGGCCCCCCCATTTGCAAACAGATTGCAAGTTTTTGCCTCCCCCTCCTGTGCACACACTCTGCCAAGTCTGCACCAAGGTAGCAAGCTCTGTAAAGATAGGAAAACAGAGGGAGAGGAGGGCAGATGGGCAAGCAAGGATGGACCCAGGCCAAGCTTAGTGGAGTATGTGAAACAGCCTTCTCCCCTTGGACAGCCAGCTCAGAGTAGAGTGAGCGTAGCCATGACTACTCTGCTTCCCTTTTCCTTTTCTTTTCCTTGCAGGGTTTTAATTTTTTTTGTCTGTTTATTTTCCCCATGATTTCTCAGGCAAACATTACCCACATTCTATGGAACTTTGGGCTTTCACAGAACCTCACCTGAGAAATTCTGCTCTGCACCTACACACTCCTCAGCACTGAGGCTTGTAAACTCCAATGGACAAGAAATTCTCAGCAGCACAGTTCAATTGAGTGAAGGCTTCCCCGAAGACAGTTAAGACAGACCTTTTATTTAATTGAAAAAGCACCCTCCGTGGCCAAAACCAGGACAATTTGTTTTTTAATATTAAAAAGTGGGGTTGTCAGAGGTGTTCTAAAACATGCCGAAACTTCCCCCTGCAGGGCACAAGAGCATCATTTAACAACAACAAAATAGATAACTTTTAATCAGGGGTTTTAGGGAGAATTTAAAGGCAGAATGCTGGGCATTTGAGCTCATGGGGGACTTTGCCCACCCCCTACTATAAAGCTATATGATGGAAAATAAACATCTACAATTGCAGGCAACAGCCATTTTGCCTCCATCATTTTCATTGCCTATAGTACTGTACTGGCATCATGTGCCAGGATATTACTTCTGTGCAATGGCACAGATAGAATCTCTGGAACAGCACCCGCAACAAGGGTGGTATAGCACAATCAAGGAAAACTTTATTCTACACTGCCAGAAGCCAACAGAGTAGGATTGGAAATGACTGACATCTGCACTAGCTGTATCAATACAAGTGGATGCTGCTTAGAGAAGTGTGCTCACAGAATTAAATGTTACATTTTACTTGCTTTAAATGACAGATCTCCTTCTTGCTGTGCAGCAAAATCACCAAGAGTGATAAAATTCATATCTGAATCATCGCCCAGGTGATCTTCATCACTATCATCATCTTCGTCTTCATCTTCCTCTTCTTCATCTTCATCGTCTTGTGTACTTTCATCTTCCTCCTCCTCCTCTTCCTCCTCATCCTCTTCTTCTTCCTCTTCTTTGATCTCCTTTTCCTTCTGTGTCTTTGGGTTGTTTTTCCTTTTCTCATCCCTAGATAAGGAAAACAAAAACAAAAATAGAACCATAGTCATTTGAAAATTGTTTATTTTAATTATCTTTTGATGTAGCTAATATCATAGGCATCTTTCCCTTGGCTGTTAGGAGTATGCATGAGAAAGAACTCAGTGCTGTTGATATTTTCCATCTTCCTACTCTGAATGCATTTAGATTTCTAAACTATCCTCTGGATTGCATCCAGGGCAGGGAACAGATAATACTGTAAAAGAAGAAAGAAAAATACCATATTCACCTGTACACTTTATGAGATTATTTAAATTCCCTCTGAAAGGCAGACTTGCTCAGATCTGAGTAAACCTGATACAGGCTGATTTTATTAATAAATTCAGCAACCATTATAGGCTGCAGATCTAAAAGGTATTTACGTCTGAGCAAGTCTCAAGGAACTCAATGGGACTTCTAAGTAGGCATGTACAGGATTGTATTGTTAATCAACTTACATATTGGAGCCCTTGATCTTTTTGTCCTGGCTGATGGTGACAGCAAGTTTCTCCAGCTGCTGTGAAAGATTTAACAACTGTTTTTCTTCTTCTTCTTTTCTCTGATTATAATTTCCCACAGGTGCAGGCTCATCTGACTGTGAAATGACAACAGCACAGGTTGCAGGTAAACCCGTGTGCACGTTAAGATTTGAACTCTATTTGATCTATGAAGGTATATTTAAAAGATTTTCCACCTTTTTAAAAATCATCTGTTGGTGTACTACCACATAAGTACAAGACATATTCATCATTACTTTAATATGCTGCTTGAAATGTACAGCATTCAAAAAAGGCACAAAGATTTTTCAATACAACTTCCAGGCATGAATGACATGTCAAGGGAAGTATGAAGGGAATGGTAAACCACTTCTGAGTACTTTCTACCTAGAAAAGCCTGAAAGAGGTTTTCTAGGTAGAAAATTATGCTAACTACAAGTAGGCAATCGCATGGCCCTTTATGTAAGGAGAAAACTGTATTTTGTCACTGGAATACGATTACCAGTATTGGATAAATAGTTGCCCTCCAAAATTGCACAGATCATGCACTCAATTTTTAAGGTGACATAAAACCAGCAAGCTACACATTGGCCTAGAAAGGGCATATTCTATAATGTTAGGTTCTCCCTGGCAAAAGGTTTCTCTGAGCTTTCTACTCAGATTATTTTGTAGAAACAAAAAGCATACCATCTAAAACACTTACTTTCTTCAGGTTCTGAAGAACACCAACATTTTCATCCACAGCCTTCTTCAATTCCAAACATCTACAACAAAAAGGAATGTTGCTTTATAGACATTGTATACAAAGCCACTATTACAGATCTAAAGTCCAACATTTTGTAGATCCTATTTTACTTCATGTAATAGACCAGCCATGCATTTTGTCCCTTGTTTTTGCAGATAATAAACACCACTGTAGTACTACAATCTAGTGATAGGCCCAGGGAAGAGCAGTATTTTATTTATTTATTTATTTATTCATTCATTCATTCATTCCTTCATTCATTCATTCATTTATTCATTCATTCATTTTTATTTATACCCCACCTATCTGTTCACAATGACCACTCTAGGCGGCTTCCAGACATATAGAGCAGTGGTTCTTAACCTTTGTTTTGAACTTCAACTCCCAGAAGCCCCAGTCAGGACAGCTGGTGGTGAAGGCTTCTGGGAGTTGCAGTCCAAAACTCCTGAGTAACTCAAGGTTAAGAACCAGTGATATAGAGCATATAGTAGAGCATTTCAGTGTTTGTGTGTGTGCAAATGTTCCCTTTTCATGCAGAGAGTGAATGCTAAGATGGGAAGCCTCTTAAAGTGATCTCCAGTGTTTCACTGGCAGAAAAACAGTCTCCCTCTTAGAGGATATTCACAAAGTTCTAGAGTAGAGCTGACAATAGGGAGATGCCTGCATGCAATGGATGATTAAATATCTTCTGTAATTTTTGCTAAGACAAAGAGATCTAGACTATGTGATCTGACCTAACGAGATTATTTCATTCGCAGACAAGCTCACAAACTTGCATTCCTAAACACCATATTATATATGTATGAACTGTTAAGAGTTCCTAAGTATTAAGACATATCAAAGCATACCTGATCACTGGTTAAACAAACATGAGTATGCAGTCTTCCTTTTCAAATCTAATACTCAAGATGAACTCTAATTTGTTTTTCAAACAATACCAAAGAATCACAGAATTGTAGAGTTGGAGGAGACCACAACAGTCACTGGGTTCAACATCCTGCCAAAGCAGGAAATTCCACAACTGAAGGATTCCTGACAGGTGGCCATCTCACCTCTGTTTAAAAACTTCTGACAAAGGAGTATCTCTGTTCCAGCATCAAATTGCCTTTCAAGATGTTCTTCCTAATGTTTAGGCAAAATACCTTTCTTTTAATCTGAATTCAGTTATTACCCTCTGGAGCTACAGAAAACAAAGCTTCTCCATTTTCCACATGCTAGCCCTTCAGATATTCAAAGGCATATTTTAAAAAAACATGCAATTAAATCCAATTTACCCATACTTGAGATAAATCCCTGGAAAAAATATCACAACTTTTTTGTGTGATGAGAAAAATATATTATGTGGTGCTCCCAGGAGAAAGATATTATATCCGAATTTACTGGGTTTCTTTCTTGTTTAAAAAATTTTAGGCCAACATAAAACATACCTATCAAAATTAATAGCCTTTTTGATGTGTTGATCTAGTTTGGATTAACATTTGAGATTTGATTTGATTTAACCAAACGCAGTTACATTTATTGATGCCTTTAAATAAACATGACTTTATCAGACACCTCAAATATAAGATACATACATAGTGGAAAGTCCCATTAATTGCAATGAAACTTTCTTCCAGTTAATTATGCTTAGAGATATATATACAATGGTGCCTCGCATAGTGAGGTTAATCCATTCTGGATTAACCTTCGCTATGCTGAAGCATCGTTGAACGGGGCAGCGAATTCAATTCCAAATGGGCCGACTACTCACCGTTCAGCGATGCTTCTTAATGGCCGGCAGCCATTTTCGCGCCCTCGCCTCGCTTAATGAGGGTGCGAAAATGCTGCGCGCGGCCATTTTGGGCCATTTCCGGGCTTCCGGCGGCCATTTTGGCCACCGAACAGCTGATCGTCGGGCTTCGTTTCGCGAAGATCGGTAAGTGAAACGCTTACCGGTCTTCACAAAGCGAATTTTGCCATTAGAAAAACGTTGAGCGATAGTATTAGCGATCCGAAAAAACGGATCGCTATGCGATTTCGTCGTTATACGGTGCGCTCGTTAAGCGAGGCACCGCTGTATATAGGCATCCTTCAGTCTCAAGAGACTATGGTAACATGCTCTGAAATGAGGAGTGTCCTCTCCAGAGCATGAAGCCTGGGTAAAGTAATATGGAGGATAAGCTGTTATATAGGAAAGCCAATTAGATTTGCATAAGCCTGGGAGGCAGGAAAGTTTAAAGGGTCTGATCATGCTTAGATCTATAGCTTAAAATATTCTTAACTTCCCCTATTCACATTGAAAAGAACTAATAAATATTAACAAATGTTATTTTTAAAAATGTTACACTGTTTCCCCAAAATCAGCGTATACTGTACATGTTACCTTGTTTCCCCGAAATAAGACCTAACTTGAAAATAAGCCCTAGCATGATTTTTCAGGATGCTTGTAATATAAGTCCTACCCCCAAAATAAGCCCCAGTTAAGTGAAACCCCATCCTCCACCATTGTGCACCATTGTGCAGTAACCAGAAGATATGACTGTGTTTGAATAAATGTAGATTGTTGTATATGAAAAAAATAATACATCGCCTTAAAACAAGCCCTAATGCTTATTAATATAAAAATTAATTATAAGATCCTGTCTTATTTCGGGGAAACACGGTATTTTTTTTCCAGTGTTGGCTTAGAATATATTAGACATGCATTACAAAAGATTTACATTACCTTTGACGAATGCTCTTCTTTTTTTCAGAATCTGTCCCCGTCTCTTTGCTTTCCTGAAGCAAAACATTCACCTTAAAGATTGAAACATAAAAGTTCATTTATCAAAGAAAAACAGATGAACAGTCTCATATAGAGTGGTCGAAATGACTAGATAGGTGGGATATAAATACAATACAGTGGACCCTTGACTTACAGATGGCTTGACTTACAGACTTTTTGACTTGAGAACCGCCTTCCAATACGGATTAAGTTCTCAAGTCAAGACCCCACTGTAAATAAAAAATAAATAAAAATAAATAAATAATATAAATATACAAACCTATAAAAGCAGATGACCATGTATATAATTGAAAGAGTAAGACTTCCTTGTGTGTCCTGGACATCACTTTTGTTAATTTCCCCTCTCCTGATACCAGCAGTCATAACACAGACAATGCAATCCTGTACACACACATTTAGAAGCACTAAGTTCTATGGAAGTTGCATCCAAGAATACATACATAAGATTGCCATCTAACACGACAACCTCATACACACTTACCTAGTAATAATTCCCTGGGAATTCTCAGCAACCCCATCAAGTATTCTGCCCTGACAACCACCAACTCATGCAATTAATTATGGTAACCACTTCAGTTCGCACTGTGTGCTAACGTGTGAGGCGCACACCGAACAGAAAGTCTGTTTACAACAAATGCAACATAAACTCACTATTCATAAGTTGTTACAACTTTTTGAAACTGACACCTATTTTAACACTGCTGTGAAACAGTTTGAGGAGCCGTTCGCCCTAATAAAAGCAGTATATACACTACGTACGAACCCAGAGGTCCCACTGAATTCAGTGCGGCTTATTGGCAAACACAAACACACGCACGCACGCACGCACGCACGCACTACTGGCCAGTAATGCTCATGCCCCAATAATAAGTGCATCACCCTTAAGGCACACACAAAATCTGGGTGTATGACAGCCTGTAGCCCAAATCTTTGAAATGTATACAAGACATGAAGAACACAAAGATAAGGGATGAAATAATCACAAGAAGAAGCTGCATGGGATGACGCGCCCCAATAATAAGTGCATCACCCTTAAGGCACCACAGGTCTCTCCGCTGCTCCCACCGGTCTCTCTAACACGGTCACTCCCAAACCTCGAGCGACGGCGCTGGGAACCCGCTTCCCACAACGCCCTCCCTTCCGTCCCCTTGCTCCCTGCCGGCGCTCTCGACGCAAAAAATAAAAAATAAAGTCAGCACTTAAGCGGAAAAGTCACCTGCTCCCGCAGCTCTCGGCCCCGGCGGAGGGCACTTTGCAGCGGACCCGTCCGGCTTCGACGCCCGCTCATTTCTCGGGCTACTCCGAGGTTATTCCCCGGGCCGGAAAAAAAAGGCCGCCGCCGCCGGTCGCTAAGGAGACGAAACGCTGAGGCGCGAGATGATGACGTCATCTACAGGCGCCGCGAGAAAGCGTTCAAGGCTGTTCCCGACAATGGTGTGCAGGGGAGGGCGGGATTCGTTGATTGATGTGCCCCAGACCAGAGTGTAAAAGAACTGGGAGATCAGACCTTTTTTCACGACCCGTTAGAGTAAAAGTAATCAAACCTCTACTGCTGACGTTACAAATATATTCATTGTTTATAAGGGGTTGTTTTTTTTAATTCTGGGGAAATGTAGAAAGTTGTATTGTTCTGTGTTTAGAGGTGCAAAACTACGAGTTCTTTCCTTACGGGAAGCCATGAAAGCCACAGGCCTAGATATGTATCATACTTGCATAATTATTCTTTTTTTTAGGTGCTAAGTAACTTCTGACTCATGAATACTCTGATAATTTCAAGCATTTGTGAGATGTGCCATGAATAATGTACTTCTAATGGGTTTCAATGAGCAGGGATTTGAGCCCAGATCTCCTGAGTTGTGACATTCTTAGTACACCACAGTAGCTCTGTGCTGAAGAGTGCATCCACTGAAACCAGTGGAGCTGCTTAAATCAGAGTTCTTTCTGTCTCAAAATTCTGTGGAAATGTATAGGACTGATTTTTAAATACAAAATTATTCCAGTCTACTCCCAAGTATTATTCCAGCAATGTACGGAAGTGAGAACTGGACCATAAAGCTCACCTCCGCAGAATTGATGCTTTTGAATTGTGGTGCTGGAAGAGACTCTTGAGAGTCCCCTGGACTGCAAAGAGAACAGACCTATCCATTTTGAAATAAATCAACCATGAGTGCTCACTGGAAGGACAGATCCTAAAGCTGAGGCACCAATACTTTGGCCATTTCATGAGAAGACTCCCTGGAAAAGACCCTGATGTTGGCAAAGTGTGAAGGCAAGAGGAGAAGGGGACGACAGAGGATGAGATGGTTGGACAGTGTCATCGAAGCTACCAACATGGATTTGACCCAGTTCCAGGAGGCAGTGGAAGACAGGAGGGCCTGGCGTGCTCTGGTCCAGGGGTCACAAAGAGTCGGACACAACTAAATGACTAAACATTTTATTTATTCACAAGTATGACTAAGTAAGTCTGAATCCAACCATTTTATGTATGTGGGCATAGAGAAAAGTCCTGCTAGCAGTGAACTGTGCAGTACTAGTAGTGCAGCAGCATACACAAACAGCCACTATCAAAGTTCTTCATAGAGAGAAGTCCTGCTAGCAGTGAATGTGCAGTACTAGTGGTGCAGCAGCATGCACAAACAGCCACTATCAAAGTTCTTCATATTTCTTTTGGACTGTTCACACAAGTTCGGAGAAAAGGTGTACCAAATTACCAACACAATCTCTCTTAATACTGCATTCTCTGGGACAATATCCACTTGTGTATGTTATGGGCCCTCAAGTTAACCTATGGAAACACCTGTGAGGTTTTTGAGGTACGTGAGATGTTCAATGAATGGTTTACCATTGCCACCTCCCAGTAAGTTTCCATAGCCAGTAGATTTGAATCCAGGTTTTCATAGTTTTAGTCCAACACTGTTATCCACCACACAACACTGGAGTTCTTAGGAAGCCTCCTTTCCACATTCCACCACCACCATTTCTGTAAGAAGAAAAATTGCCTCCCAGCGAAGTTCATGGCGGAATAGTTATCTGAAGCCAGATCTTCCAATGCCATGCCATTGCACAAGTCTGTCTGAGGATGCATAAATAATCTGAATGTTCATAATAATGATGGCATCTTCCCTTGGATCAAAGCTACACAGATGTTGGGCAAGTTGGTAATGGCCCACATACAAAAACATCAGAGCAAGCCAGGGTATGTTAATCTCCTCCCCACGTGCCTTTGTTTGTCTCAATTTTAATATGGTTACTTTAATCCAGTGGTTCTTAACCTTTGTTACTCGGATGTTTTTGAACTGCAACTCCCAGAAACCCCAGCCAGCACAGTTGGTGGTGAAGGCTTCTGGGAGTTGCAGTCCAAAACTCCTGAGTAACCCAAGCTTAATTTTAATATGGTTTAATTACTTTTTATAAAAAAAATTAATGCTTACATTTGTTGAATTATTTCTAACTGTTTTGTGTTTCTTTGTGTATTTCAATGATGTTGTGAACTGCCGCAGTAAGATGCCTGTGTCTGAAAAGCAATGTACTGTACAGTATAGGGTAGGTGTATCTCTAGTAGATACAATTGGTTTATCACCCAGTGTATCTCAGCCCATATACATAAAATGTTATCATCCCCAATCCTCAGTCTTGTTTAGTTGCTGGAGCAGGCTGTAAAACACTTTGTATCACATTAAAACATTTCATCCTAAAGCAGCAACTTAATTTAACCCTTATGTTTACAAGGCGTGAAATTAAATAAAATGGGGCTGCATAGCCATTCATACAGCTAAACAGAAAATCCATCAAAATAATTTAGCACAAATAATGTCTTAAAATATTTATTTTATTTATTCATACACAGAATTTCATTGGCAACACTCAAGTTACTATATTTCCTTCAGAGTCACACAATGAAATAGCCAGGTCTTTCAAACATAGCACATGAAATTAACAAAACCAAACAAAGTAACAATTTAAATATTTGATCAGACTTCTTTATGTTTCTGCTGATACCAGTTTCAGTGAATAAGATCACAGAAGCTAATACCAGGTGTATTTTTTTCAGAACAACTTTGTGTGCAAGAATACAATTCTGTATATTTGTATTTAAAGTAACTTTAAATGTATTAATGTAACTTTAAATGCAGGTGGAATTGATTTTCAGGTGTCTTGTGGTTTCAACTTCGTTTTGCCTATTAACAGAAAAAGAAAGAAAATATACGTTGTTTATTCCTTCCACATGTTTTCCATTCTTAAAGCAAAAGTTAATTTTCTTTATTTAATTACACCCGTGCCTTTCCTCCAGTGAGCCTGATGCAGCATACATGGCTCTCCCTCTTCCCCGTCAGGCAGGCCAGGTTAAGAGAGTGACTGGTCCAAGACCATCCAGTATGTTTCATGACCGAGTGAAGGCTTAAGCCTGGATTTCCCAAATTTAACATTTCTGTCCTCGTACTACATTAGTTCTCTAAGGAAATCGAGGAAGGAGCCTCCCCAAAAGAATGTGAGGACTGAGAGCACATTCAGACATTCCCTGGACCACAACATCACCTTATCAGCTGATCCTTCCACTCTGGAAGCACCACTGGATTGCTTCTGACATAAGCAAAGAAGAAGGAAATCAACGTAAAACGTTCAATGGGGAAAAATGTTTGAATGGACACTATTCTGACACATAACCACAAGCAGCAGCAAGGAGGAGATTGGGATGGATCCACCATTAAACACTGAAGCTTATGTCTGTCTGCATTCCAGAAGGGGCTTCGCTGCAACTTCCAGTTCAACAGATGAGACAATCTAGCTCCAGTACTGTACTTCAACATCTACATTTAGAACTGAGTCTTGTGATTTTGAAAAGTATACTACTTCAGTCTGAAAGTGCCCAGCTGTATAAGCCTACTCAAAAACAATTTTCATCAAATGCAATACGATTTAATCCAAGGTGATTATATACAGCAACCCTTTCAAAGTTGGGGCCTCCCAAATGTTTTCAATTACAAGTCCCAGCACCTCTGACAACTGGCCTTGCTACTAGGGACTAATGGGAGCTGATATCCAAAACATCTGGAGGGCATCAGGTTCGAGGAAGCATCTTATAGGACTGCAAATGAAGATTACAAGCTACAAAGCAGTCCTGGTGATTTAAAAACACACACACACTGCAATTGCTTCAGTAGAGGAAAACAATGATGAGCTTCCTAGCACCAATGGTGCCCATATTAGTGACAACACACATAAAAATTAAGTGTCATGCTTTTCATGGCACAGAAATAAATGGGGAAAAAGATCTAGCAGTTTAATTTCTGCACATTGAGCATACAAATATTGCTACTGTACCCAAATGAGCAACTTCACACCTGTGTATCATGTCTGATTTCCATATGAACAAGTGCCCCAAAGCAGCCTGGCCAAGCCTTTTGCTCTGAACTGAAACCTCATCACCAGGAAACTAAAAATGAAACTTTTCTTCAAAAAGAGATTATTGGTATGCCCTCTTAATGGCATGTCAACATGTGACAGGGGGAAAAACATCAGATACAGAAACTGGTTGAATACTTAAGAATGCTTATTTTTCTCCCCCTCATTCCAAAACCTTTAGGTCTTTAACAACAACCAAACGGGCATGAATTCAGCAGGCAAATTGTCCTTCCCAACATGAGTTTCCTATTATAAGAGAAGCATCACCTGCTGAACAACTAATACCATGCTTCTGATATTGAAGATCTGTGACTCCTGCAAGGTAAAAAATATTGATTAGCAAACACTGTGTTGGCAACAATTTTGTACTGAAAGATCATAAGCTGATAGAGCTACAAAAAGGCAAGGCAAATACAAACTAAGGATCAAGAACCTAGTTGCTCAGGAGCAGAGAACCCTCGCTACCACACATTGTCTCTATAAATGATCAGATGCATAAACATTTTCAGGGCAAGGCCTTTTATTTCATATCTCAAACTGCTGTTAAAGATTATACATATTATATTACTGCATAACATTTCATTTCACAAAAAGCTTTTGGAAGACTTGAGTTGAAGCTTCTGAAGACTAAGTTGTGGTGTAGTGGTTAAAATGCAGTACTGCAGTGAGGACTCTGCTCATGACCTGTGTTTGATCCTGGGCTCAGGTAATTCGGCTGGAGGTTGGCTCAGCCTTTGAGGAGGAATAATGTGTAGCATACAGTACACAGTTCACTTGTAAACCACCCAGAATGTGTTCTAAGCACTATCAGGCAGTAGATAAGCGGCGCCCTTCCTCTGAAACAAAAATCTTTTGGAGTATTCATTAAGAACATAACTATGCTGGAGAAAAACAAAATACTGTAAAGTTCAGCATTCTGTTTGTTCAGTGATGCAGAAGGAGGGAAAACTAGTAACAATTATAACTTAACTTAGTAACAATTATAAGAACATAAATAAGGGAGTCTTCAAAATAGCATTCTGAAATGCTATGAAATTCTGTGAACTTCGTTGTATGGGTATACTGTGTATATACTTACAATGACAATAAATTATTTATTATTTATTATTATTATTATGTTTGTTCAGTGATGCAGAAGGAGGGAAAACTAGTAACAATTATAAGAACATAAATAAGGGAGTCTTCAAAACAATATGAAAAGAACAATTATTTCTCTCTATATTTAAGTTTAAACTTCCTTGATTTGAATTTTGTGCGCGCGACTGCACGCACACGCATTACAGCAACTGCCAAACTAGACAGACTTAGTTTTTCAGCCTTCTTGAGGAAAGTTCTGTACGCATTTTATTTATTTATTTTTATTAGATTGCTGTTGTACAGCCCAGCTGCAAAAGCAAACTCAGAAGAGGGCATGGCCCCGCCCGGCCACCGTCCTCCTCCTCTCGCTCACCCCCTTCAAGACAGGTCCAGCTTCTTCTGCGTGGCGGCCAGCTGGTCCTGAAGCCGCCGCTTCCGCCAGTCGAGGTACCGCCTTCGCACTCGGTTCGCCTGCCAGCCCACCAGAACTCCCGACGCGAAGGCGAGCAGCACCGCCAGCTGCACGGACCGCTCCGACAAGGGCTCAGCAGTGAGCGCCATGGCTGTTACGGCGGCTCGCGGCGGCCAAAAGACTTCGCCTCGAGAGCGGACGGAAAGAGAGAGGGAAGAGCGTGGTCGGGCACTTCTACGTCGTGTGGTGCAGCGCCCTCTAGCGGCCGATGGCGACTAAGCTTCAAGCAAAACGAGGGCAGGACTGCCATCCCAATTCACCAATATTTGAGGGTCTCTCTCAGGAGACAAAGCCTAGGCCCAAACTACAAGACCCATGCCAAATTAACATTTTCAGAAGCAATCTTGCCTTTTTTTATTAGCTTGCATACTCTAGACCCGATGTTGGAATATGTATGTTTATGTGCATTTTTGGGGGGCAGAAATTTGTAGCTTTCATCAGATTCTCCAAGAAGTGACTCAAATGAACGTATGAAACACCTTTCTGTGCATTGTCTGGCAGTCCCATGCACAGCTAGAGCCTCCACCCCGTGGGATATCACAGAGATCTCTACGATGCTGCCAAGATCAGAACTCTAAAAGCCCACGAACAATCAGATGATAGCAGGTGGTTTCTTTATCTCTTTCTAGATTGATATTTTAATTGCTACTTTGGGGCTGCCTTCTGCCTCCTTTCCTGCAGATTACTTTCTGCTTCTTTTTCTCCTTAGAACGGCGTTTTCCAACCTTTTATGAGTCGCGACTCCTTTTTATAAGAGCCAGAGTAACTTGCGATACACCTCCCACTGTATTTGCACAAGGCATTTTAATGGGATAAAGAAAACATATTAAAATAGATTTTTCAGAATATAATTCTACCCTAACATAATAATATTAATGGGTGGTGGTGGTGGTTTGCTGTAAATCTGCCTCTACCAGATAAATTTTGAGAAGGGAATAAAATGTCAGTACACATTGAGTTTAATTTACTTTTTTGATGTGCAAACAACCCTTCATGTCTCCTCTTCCCAAAAAGAGCCCCCTCACTGAAGAGCCCCTCATCCCATCCCAGTTCTCTTGCCTTACCTTTTTGTCCTTCTTGCCTTCCTCCGACATGACTCGGGCAGAGCCTGGAGGCATCTCCTTGCCCAGGTCCCCCTTCCCTTCATGAAGCCACCATCTCCACACCTAGAAGAGCAGGAGACACTTAGGTGGAGCAAAAGGTGCCGCAAAAACTTTTCAATCCTGCCACCATCTTAGGCACCGGGCAGGGCCTGGAGGCATCTGCTTGCCCAGGTCCTCCTTCCCTTCATGAAGCCGCCATCTCCACACCTAGAAGAACAGGAGACACTTAGGTGGAGAAAAAGGTGCCGCAACAACTTTTCAATCCTGCCACCATCTTAGTCATCCATGTTTTCCCAATGTGCTCCATGCCCTCGCCTGTTTCAAGCCTCTTTGCGCCAGGCTAATGCTTGGGTATGAAGGGCTGACATCAAATCTCCAAAGATGGATGGAGAGGAGCCGAGAGAAATGAGCAAAATCAGTGCTTTCGGAGGGAGGAGAAGCGATGTGCGTGCATGAAAGGACCAGGAACTTGGCGAAGGGAACCGAGTTACCCAAGAGACTTTGATCTCAGTGAATAGAACCAGTAGCAAAGCAATAGAGAGGATGCAGGACTAGTGCTTGAAACAGGATCCTCTGACTGCAGGCAAGTCATTGTTCTTTTCCCTCTGACCCAAATTTATTACAAATCTCATTGAGTTTGATCCATTGCCTACAGATTGTGTGGAGAAAGGGATAGAAGGCAGGAATCCTGGGAAAGAAGCCACTGGGGCCGGGAGGGCTCATACGGATTGAGAATAAGGCTTTCTGTGTTGGACAAAGTGGGCTCTGGCCTGCTGAGATGCAAACGTGCCATGTATTTGATGAACTGAACTGCAGCCCATGAAAGATTATGCCAAGCAAAACACAACAGTCTTTAAGGTGCCGGCCACAGAGACTGGCAAAACGTTAGGAAGAAAAACCTCCAGAACATGGCCAAACAGCCCGGAAAACCCACAAGAACCAATATCACCAGATACTTCATTGTTTTGTTGAGACAGGCCAAGAGAATTCACTGAGAACTAAAAATGACATTACAATACAGTACTTGTGTAGCCATTAATGAGCCCCAGCCCAATTAATGCTCAGTTAATGTTAATAAGAATACAATTGTGTCTTCAGTAAATCTAATCACGGTTGGTGGTAGGTTTCTTTTTTAAAATACAGTTGAAGTAATGTACCTTTTCTATACAAGCTCCTCTTGTGGGCGCCTTGGAGGCAAATAAATGCTTCCTCAGCACTCCTGGGCCTCTGCTTGGAGAAACAATATTTAGTTTACGGTAATGGCAAACTTCCTTTTCCTCCACGCCAAGTCCCGCCAAGGACAGATGAAAGGGACGGATCTGCAGTTCACTAGTAAGCAGAGCCCATAAAGCCTGCCAACGTTTCCACAGTTCTCTAGAACAGTGGCTGTAAGAGCAACCAGCTGTGCTATAGTGCAGTCGGTGGGTTTGTCAGAAAACCCCACCCGGGCCAAAACAAAACAGCAGTACTGAGGTAAAACATATGGCTTCAATAAAATGGAAATTAACATTTAAAAAAGAGTTATTGGCAATCATCTGGGATTTCCTGGCATATAACATTCCTGATTTTCCTGGCCTTTACAATCATATTATCAGTTCTTGTAATACTCGAACCATTGGTCCATCCAGCTCAGTTTGTCCCTGACAGAAGCAAGGGACAGAGGAAGGAAACAGGGCCAACCGTCTGAGAAACCAGCTTCATCAGATTTTGCCTCTCTCCTTTCTGTCATCTGGCAGCCATTTCATCAGGTTGCCATAGAGAGAGAGAAAGGACACCCACGGCTACTCCATTGGCTGATCGGCCAGAAAATGTTGGCTCCTTTCTTCTGTGAACTGTTTGCTTTCCAGCTGGCCATGTTAAAAGGCCAAGGATGTCTGCTTGCATTAAAGCTACCTTCTATCTGGCCATGAGAAGAAGCATGCAGCACTGGAAGCTGGTACTTGAATTCTCCTCTTTTCCTCTCCCCTCCTCATCCCTTGTACCTTTTGTGCCACCACGTTTCAGACTGCTGGCCTGGCAGCGAGGTTTGTTAATATGCAAACTGCTCCACGAGCTTTTTCCTGCTGCAAAGCAGAGTATTAAAAAACCCTCTAATAAAAGACTACAGGAACTGCCAACAGTTCTCCAGGATTCCAGACAGATGTTCTTCCTGAAAAATCAAAAGATTGATGGAACTCCAGGTTGCAAATAAACCCACAGGAAGTTTTTTTACTATGGATCATCTGCAAGGCAGACTCCTGTCACATGCACAATATGAAGAAAACAAGTCACTAGTTTGCACACAAACCCCGTAAGAACAATACTATCTGACTAGCGCCAGGCTAGCTGGAAAGCCGCCCAGCGCTGGCCATCCAGCCATGTTGTTCTAGCCTAGGGGATGGGTGGGTGTCAGCTTCCGTGGCTCCATTTCCACCCCATGTGGAGCCGGCAAGGATTCCGCTGCTCTTCCTCTTCTGCGGGACTTGCTTATCTGTCTGGCAACTAGATGGCAGTGGCCAGGGACTGCCTTAGCAGCAGCAACAGCAGGGGTCTCCCTGGGTATCAAAAACGCCCCTGCTGTCACCATTGCCAGTACACACTCAGCCACCGCTGTCCAGCTGCCTGCTGGACAAGAAGCCCTGCCAAGAAGGAAAGGCACTCTCAACTGGCTGAAGCCTTGGTGTGCTTTGAAATGGTGCCCAAGGTGCACTGAGTTAAACCCCTTAGAGCTGACATCATATGAAATGAACAAAGTCTCTTCGAATTCAAACAAGTTTGAACCTGGCACGTCGTTCCGGCCCCTGGAACCATGAGCAAACAAAGCCCAAATTCTAAGAGAGAGACCTAAGGCCCTTCCCTAATTCAAGGGTTGGAAACTTTTACTTTTTAGGTCTCCCTGGGTGTCAAAAACGCCCCTGCTGCCACCATTGCCAGTACACGCTCAGCCACCGCTGTCCAGCTGCCTACGAAATGATGTCCCTTCGAATTCAAACGAGTCTGAACCCAGCACGTCCTTCTGGCCCCTGGAACCGTGAGCAAACAAAGCCCAAATTCTAAGATAGAGACCTAAGGCCCTTCCTTAATTCAAGGGTTGGAAACTTTTACTTTTTAACTCCCAGAATCCCCCATGGTGACGCTGACTTTCACATTTTGGAGGTTGCTGTCTCAAAGGTAGTTTTTCCAGGGTCTGCTCTAATTAATAAGCTTAAACCTCTTCTGCAGTACAGTGGTGCCTCGCTTAACGGTAATTAATAAGTTTAAACCTCTTCTGCAGTAATTAGCATGCAGTAATGCTGGCAAGCAGATACTAAGTATGGTGTAACTATTTTTTGTGGTTGTTGTGGGCAGTGGTTGGAGTTTTTGTGTAGGTACCGGTCTGTGTGGTACCTACACAAAAACCCACACACACAGTGGGTAGGCATAATCAAAACACTGGTAGGCCGTGCAAATTGGAACTGTGAAGCTCAATTTCTCAGCACCTAACTCAAACATCTGAATCGGGCCATACAGGCAAATGGCTACTCCAAAAAGGAAATCACAAGAGCCATCAAACCAAGACCAAATGTGTACACAAAAACCCACCCACACAGACCGGTAGCTACCAGAAGGTAGGCATAATCAAAACACTGGTAGACCGTGCAAATTGGAACTGTGAAGCTCAATTTCTCAGCACCTAACTCAAACATCTGAATTGGGCCCTACAGGCAAATGGCTACTCCAAAAATGAAATCACAAGAGCCATCAAACCAAGAAAACAACACCGAACTGAAGAGGAAAAACAGCCACCGGCAAATTAAGTATTTCTGCCGTACATCAAAGGGATCACAAACTGCATGGGGAAACTTTTGAAAAAACACAACCTACAAACAGTATTCAGGCCCACCACAAAAATACAACAAATGTTATGGTCAGCAAAGGACAAAAAGAACCGCCTCACCACTGCAGGAGTATACTGGATACCTTGCAGTTGTGGCCAGGTATGTATTGGAACCACAAAACACANNAACACCAGCAGAGCTTCAACAAAAAAGAAGAAAGTGAAAAATTCAATAAAGCCTGGCTCCCAGCACTGAAAAATACAGCCTGCAAAAGGTCAGCAAACTCTACCCAGCCACAAGGACCAGTGATCACTGCACACAAAAATCCAGCTAACAACACCCAGCAATCACAGTGATAGATCATTTCTCCCCCTTAGCACAATGATAGACCCACAACAAAAAACACACTGATCTCCATAATCACCCAATCTCCTGAAAAGGACAAAAGCTGATCCCACAACTATAAATACTCAACTATCCAACAAACTGCAACAGAGCACAGACAGAGTTCTGACTCCTGTCCTCTGAAGATGCCAGCCACAGACACTGGTGAAACATTAGTAAGAAAAACCTTAAAAGCACAGCCAAACAACCCTGAAAACCCACAACAACCATCGGATCTTGGCCATGAAAGCCTTCAAGAATACATTGTGTATTTAAAGATCCTGCCCTTTAAGGCTTTACCTTCTGCAGATTCTTTCTGTTCACCTGTTGTTGGGACATTTTCTAGTGCTGTCTTCTCTTGATTTAACCATCACGATATGTAAAGCTCACAGCAGTGTTTAATGATGTAACTAGCTAGCATAGATATATACACGGATATGTGGCTTCAGTGTCTATTCAACAGCAGCACATATGACAGGTTATATGATTACATTAACTGCATCAGCATTTATTGC